CAGGTGCAACCCTCAGAGCTAGAGATCTGCCCACCTGGAAGAGCACTTCTGTGCCGGCTGTAATGCCAGCGTTGACAAACAGCCAGGATGTGCCCTCACGAAAAGCAAAGGTAAAGGCTGGCAACACGCGTGCGCAGCATCTCTTGAATTTGCTTCCCTCCTTGGTCTACCTGAGCCCAGATTTGTTCACACTCTGTCAGCAAACACACGCTCTGCTAACCTCTGCGAACCTCCTCTCTTCGGAGCGCATGCTGAGTCCTGAGCTAAAACCCGCTGAATTCAGTGGGAATTTTTGAAAACCCTCGGTCAGCCCAGGGCCGGGTCCTCCGGGAGGCTGAAAATGCTGGCGGCTGAAGGGAGGCTGTGAATGAGAGCTATCCTACCCGTGCGCTGTGTCCCTTGCATGGGGTATCTTAAAACAAGCCTCCTACGTTATAAACTGGGAGGTTTGGGCTGAAAAAACTTTTTTTTTTTTTTAATCGAAATGGATTAGGTCAATGTTGTACTTCAGGACAAAACACCAACGGTGATAACCTCTAACAGCTAATAACATACCTAATAACCTAACAGCTAATAAAAACATCCTATCCTTAAGGATTCCCACGCAATCGCCTCACTGCAGACAAAACTTAACTCCGTAGAGAGGGCCAGCACAAAACACCCCTCACACTCCCCTTACATCCCTCCTGGTGGCTACCGCTTCACGCTGCCCCCCAGGACAACAGTAGACAGGGACACTTTAAAACAAAAATCACATGGCTGTGAAATACAAATGAGGCAAAAAATGCCTTCACCCAACCAAGAGAGCTCTGTCTCACCAAGTGAACCGGATACAAAGATAGGGAACAAACAGGATAGAATGTCTTCTGCCTTTTGTGAAATGAAAATAAATGAAAGGATCTAAGGTTTCAGGTCACTGATCCCTCTCTTCCCTATCTGTACCATTTATCGGAGGTAGAATATAAAGGTTCCAGGTCCTTTTCTTTTTTTTCCGTCAAGCACTTTAATGGTTGTTTTTTCTCCTTCCCCCTTTCATTTTCTGAATGAAAGAACCACTTAGGAACCTGTAAAGTAATAACAAGCTTATAACAGGAATATTGTTTTTCTGGGCCAGTGCAAACTCTTCCTGAATAGGCTGAAGACATTAAAGTAAAAATGCAATCGGTCAAATAGATCAGTCCTCTAATTAGTTTATAGTCTGTTAAGAGATAATATTTTGCTCACATAGATCGCCTGTTATCTAAAGATCTCAGAGCACTTTAGGAACATCAATTAACCCTTAAAAAAAAAACAACCTTGGGAGATAGGTAAGTGTATTTAGATTAATTAGTGTTTCTCTGAGCAGGAGGCATTATTATTAGATTTAATTTAGTCCAATAATTGACTTATCTGTTAATGGATTCTAGTTCATCTGAGAAGGGACCAAATCCATCTGATTAAAAGGATTACATCGACTCAATTAATTCTATTAACCGACTTAATTTGCCATTTAATAATTCGACACATGGGGCCAGATCTTGGCCGTGAATAAGGCATAAACCGAAAATTACACACCAGAACGTATACCAGAATTATTATGCCAGTAAAACTATGTACTTCAGAGCATGTGTTTTTCTTTGCACATGGAATTTGCAGGGCCGGATGAAGCATTCAAGGGGCTTCCTCCAGCTGCATTGCTCCAGGCCCTGCGCCGTCTCGGCTCGCTTGCTGAGCCATGGCTGGCTAGTCTTTTTGCTGTGCTCATGATGGTGCCTGGAAACCAGCAATTCACTGCCTAAGATTTGTCCCTTCCCCTCTTCCCTGGGCATTCTCTTCAAACAAGAGGTGAGAAGTTTTACAGAACTCAATAAAAGTTTCCAGTAAAACTAGACAGTTTTCCTGGTCCTCAAAGGCAGGGTAACCCTCACACATCAGCCATTTGGAAGCTGTGTACGTGCACAAGAAAAGGTCACCTCTTCACTTGGACACTCTGTTCTTTAACCTGCTGGGTATGGATGGCAGAGAGGGGGAAAGGCGCTGAACTGGCTCGCCCATCCTTAGGACTGTCCAGTGCTAGTTGCTCATGGTGAGCACTGTGGGACACAGATGTGGCCACACAGCTCTGCACAGACTCCCCTGCTTCCTACATGAAGACTGAGTCTGTTCAGCCCTTGCCTAACGTTGCTTTCTCTTAACGGGATTGAGTCGTTACACAGACGCAGTGCCACTTTGACGAGCCGATGCACCGTCCATGCCATAAGCTCTGCAGAGCCTCCTGCTCACGGCCTTGCCGTGCTGAAGCAATGAGCCCTGCTGCTGGCGGCATGCTCAGGAACACTCGTTCCCAATTTGTCACCTTTTTGTGTTGCCCACGCTCGTGCCTGATCAGCTGCAGCTATCCCCCCGAACCGCAGAGCTGGGGCCCAGCACAACCGCCCTGCGACAGCCCTGCCTGGCGCTGTACCGCAGCTCAGCAAGGGGCAGGCAGGAGAATTCAGGGCTGGAGCCAGCTCACGTACCATTTTCACATGCACCTTTTCCCATATCAGCTGCCTTTTCTCAGATACTGGCTCTTGCTTCTCCTCCCCAACTCCTCCCTGGACTGAGACGTGGTCTCTGTAATCCTTACAACATCAATTCACCTCCACTATTATTCCTCCTTTCAGTGGGGACAGGGTTAAGAGAGTGGAGAAGCTGTGGGAGACAGCATCATCTGCAAGGGCAGCCTAGCCAAGAAAAGAACCGGGAATTGGGCACTCCCAAACGCTAAGCCTAGCTCCGACTCACCGTGCCAACTTGGAGACAGCAAAAGAAGAAAGAGAGAAAGGGCAGTCGGAAAAACAGCAATCTGCTGCATAAGAGGAAAGGTGTCCTGCTACAGAGGCAGATCTGACCAGCAACGCTGAGATTTGGATCAGAAGTTTGCAACCGTTCAGATCCCCAGACCTGATTTAAGCCTCTCTCTGGTCTTGATCAAAGGTTACTCCATAATAATGCCTCTGGGGGAGGGGTTCCCAGCACATAATGAATCCTGTGTCATTGCCTTTGTATCCAGTTTTGGCTGTAACACAGATGGTTCTCACTTCAGTAACTCTGACATCTCTCCCCCCTTCATTATCACAGCTAGGAGCTCTGCATGGTCACATCCTGGACCTCCAGGCCCCACCTCACTGTCTCCCCGATTATCATGCTCTAAGTGTTCCTGTGCCAAGCAAGATGATGAACAGATTTCCATAACCTTTCAGCATGGCTAGAAATGGGAAGGCTTTGCAGCTTGACATATCAAGGAGTTTTATTAGTGGGAGTGGGGGAGGGAGTAGGCAGGGGCATTAGCACATAGACTCAATGGTCAGAGCACTTTGGGTTGTTAGAAGGATGCCAGCAACCAGGAGCGGACAGGATTTGGTGGCAAGTAGCAATGCACGCACTGGGTTGCTCCTCAGATCGGAAATCTAAGGCTCTACAATTGTGCAGCTTTTCTACTGGCCACGAGCACTCTTCTGCGCGAGGATTTGTTGTTCAGACACGATTGCATATGTATGAAGGGGACAAGATGGGCTTTGACACATAAATTAGCACTTGTCAGCTGCTCACGGGCACACTTCCCTGCTGCACCCCACTGTAAATGCTGCCTTCTTTTACGGAGAAGAAAACTACATCACGTTACCTGCCATTTACTGTGGGCAAGAGCGTTTCCTGAGAAGCTAGCAGCTCACGTGCAGTAACCAGTTTGCATATCAAACCTGAAGAGATTGAATGCAATAAAATGACACCATAATTAGCAACCAAATGGTAGCACTTTCCATTCCTGTTTTATTGGAAAATTTTGGAATGACAAAGGACAACTTCAATGAGCCTTCAGGGCAGGGCTTTTTCTGAGCCGCAGGGTCACTTTACCAAACAGCCTCGGAGGGTTCATTTCACACCAGTCGGGCACTTTCTCGCTGGCGCTTGCTATGGCACAACTCACCCTGCTTCTCTGCATACGCTCACAGTGGTAGCAGCTGCCCTTCTGCGGTAGGCATGGACGATACCTCATCCTGCTTGAAGTAACCTCAGGGAATAACCATTTTCAAACAAATGTTGACCTGCCTTTCGTTGTACCTCCATTTCCACCTCCACCAGCACTGCATGCAAAATCAGCATCATGTGGATATGCGTTCTGGCCAACGCATACACATAGACTTCTGCAGCAACACATGAATGCACAAGGCTGTACGTCCATAACCGAAAAAGGAACAGTACTCAAAACAGCCCTAAAACCCTTCCAGCAACGGTCATTCAGGCCTAAACCAAGCTGAGCAAAAGTATCTCTGCCAAAACCATCTCAAAATGTACCGGGATAATGGAGTTTGTTCATAATTCAGTGTCTCAGCAAGCACTTAGCATGCTACTGGTGTGCAAGTCAAGGTGAAAAGAGCTGAATCCACTACCAGCCTACGAGCAGGTCAGTTGTTTGTGTTCCAGCAGGACCCACATGCCCTGAAATTCAGCTCTTAAAGCTCCAAAGTCTGCTTCATTTCTGCTCAGACTAAATATCCCTCCTCTGGAAATGAAGACAAGAGATTGCTTCACTCAAGCGTCAGACGGGATTCACCCCAACTCAGGCCAAATTCACTTTTGCAGGTTCCCAAGTCCCTAAGCATGAGGCCAGAGTGCATGTGGAAAGAACTTCCCAAACCACCAACCTTGGATCATTTGTGAATTACATGAGACACACTCTAAGCCCACCTGTTGGGCAGAGAAAGATTTTTCTCTTCAAGCACCATCATACAGTAATAAATTGGGGCATTACATTACTGTGGGAACTGTCTACAGTTCAGAGATTGGGCTGACACAATTGCCTGATTGCCTGCTCTCACACAGCAAATCCCATGTTCTTAATCTGAAAAGGGTTTTTTTTCCCCCACTTATCCTGTTTTTCATTGCTCATCTTGTTTTTCTTCCAAAAAGTTCTCAACTCAACATAGTGAATTGAAGCTTTTGAACTAGAGTCTGGGGATCCCAGTAAGTATCCTTACCATATTTATCTCCATCTTCTCCTTTGGCGCTGATCCTCCTGCCTAGCACTTGGATGTGTTTCCCACTTGTCCTGCTGTACAGCTGATAGAGCCGAAGCTGCTTCCTGCTCACATCGTCCCTTGCTCGCGTTTGGTTCTCCACGTGTATCCGAAAATCTACATTCTCCTCGGCAACAAACATCTGAAAGCAGTAAGGGGAGAGATGAGAGAGAACAGGCTATGAAACAAAATAAGCATCTTGGATAGAAAGATTACACATCAACCTGCCAAAGGGCACATGGCGCAACAGTACTTGAATTTGGCTGGCCTTCACTTGACAGTTGAGGCCACAGTATCAGGCACTCAAAATGTAATTCTACCCGGAGCTGGCTCTAGACAGTAAACCAAACTTTGATTTTAACAATCAAACTGTGGGTTTTTTTTTTGTTTTGAGTAAAAACTTCTGCTCAGTCCTGCTTTGATTTAATCTTGGTCAGCCCCACTGTCCATAAATTAGGCTCTCATTTGCATACGCATAGCTTCTACCAGGGCAGAGAGGCATGTTTGGGAGTGAGGGGGCTGACAATTCAGCTCCAAAGAAAAGGCACAAGGAGAATTTGTGCTTCACCTTCAGCAGCTACATTGCTTCCACGGGACTAACAGCAGGGAAGAAGTCAAGGGAAAAATCTGTTTATGCTGACATTAGCATCCTCAACTCTGACTACGCACTGGCATAAAATGTACTAAGATAAGCGTCATTCGTACATGGGGCACTCTTCAGTGTAACATTTTAGCCAAGCTCTGCTTTTAAGGGAGGCCAGCTCACTGCTAACAGTCTACTGCTGCACCTCTGTCTGCCCCAACGGGATCGCCGCTCGAGGAGCGATCGCTTGGGCCAGCGAGAGCACCACCAGCGCACGGAGCAAAGGGGCCGTTCGCAACAGAGCTTTGCTCTCTTGAGCCACTTCCCGTGTTTTTTCTGGCCTACGGATTAAATTAACCGTAGTTCACTGCAGCTTTAAAACACTACCAGAAACTTTCTCTGACACATCTGCCCTTCTCTAGAGGTACTGTTTCCAACCTTAACTTAATGGTTTCCCAAGAAACACTGAAACAGCATTCCTTCATCCCAGCTCACCCAGGGTGAGAGGACCAGGCGATCAAGAAGTGCCGGAGAAGGCCAGTCTGAACGGGAGGCTCTGCGGCACACACCCAAAGCACTTCACGCTCAATACAAAAGCACAGAAATCACTCCATGATCTGTCCCTGAGAACATTTGCCCCACTGGGCCCGTGCTGCCCACACAAATCCTACGCATGAACAATATGTTGGTGGCAGACTCTTTTCACCGGACAATAAATCATTCAGAAACCAAAAGCGGCAAAGGATTATCGAGTGGCACACACCCGAAACTACTTCACAATAGGCGATTTTTAATTCGACCGAGACAAATAATGTTCAAAGCCTACTCATTGTTGATGAGCTCTAATGCTGCGTACAAGTTGCAAGTGAGAGATGAAATTCCTTGCAAAATAAGAATCACATGGGAATTTAATGATTCCTAGGTTTGGGGCTGGCAAAGGAACGAAAGTTACTCCTAGCAGAGTTACTACTTTTAATACATTCCAGCTACGGCATTTTTGTCCTTCAGGCTTGGACGTAACAATGTTCTGATATATTCGTGCTGGGATGGAGCTGGCAGTGCAAATGAAAAAGGGTCGATAAATCCTCGCTCGGGCCCATGCCAACCTGAAACACACAGGAGCAAGTGGCTGCAATGTACAAAACAGTCCTGCTTCAGCCTTCTGCATCTGCCATCTCATACCGGGGAACAGGTCGAAGCCAAACAGTCAAATCCTCCCTGAAAGTCAAAACCTCACAAGAACTTCTTAGCTTTTCCAATTATCAAGTAGACACTCCGATCAGCAGCAGGAGGAAAACTTCAGGCAGGCAGCGCTGCTTAGCACCAGCCCTTCACTAAGCAACCCAAACAAAAACATTATATTCAACACAGTGGCAACAGCAATGAGGTTCACAGGGATGTTACAGGATCGTCTTTGCTGCCCTTATTAAATGCTGGGATTATGCTATTTGAATCCCAAGTCCTAGGAGAGAAACCGATTTAAGTCTCTTTTTTTTTTACTATCAGAAGTCAAGAGGAGACTGCAGGAGCTAAATAGACAGGTGGCACAAAAGCAGATTCAGGGAGCTCCTGGCTCTAAACAGACATTCAAGGTGACAACAGAAGTGAAGGACAAGGACTCTGCAATTAATACTAGCAATATTTCCCACTCTCCGAAAACAGCCCAGCAAGAAGCAGCGATTCAAAGCTCGGGAAGCAAGAGCAGAAGCAGCCCTCGCACCTGCCAGGAGGACACCGCACAAGGTTAACGGCGCTCCCGGCCTCCGCTGCAGCCCAGCTCTGCTTACTTCACTGCACCCCAAGCCACCGGAGCTCAGTTTGAGCAAAACAAGCAGGATTTGGCTTCTAACATGAATAATATTAATTTTTTTTTCTTCCTACATCTCTTCTTGTTTTCTTTTCAAATAGCATTGTTACAAAGGACGCGAAAGCACTAAAAATAGAGATGTTCAAATAATGTTGACAGTCTGCCTCACAGCCACAAAAGCAAGGCTATTTGCAGTAAAGATTCTGGCTCCATCATTTTAAGATTTAAAACAGATTTTAAATCAAGATGACGTCGGTACATTGCTTTCACCACATGTTAATGAGTTTCACATTTTTCTAGGAAAAAACAAAACAGGTGGGATTGGAAGTGGGGGGAAGGGAAGGTTGTTTTGCTTTCTTGGAAACTTCAAATAGAAAAGGCAATCTATTTTCCAAAGCACGTTTTAATTGTCTGTTTGCACAGAAACACCTTTGGGGTGCATTGGCTTCCCCAGATTTCTCCTAGGCTCCCTCTGATCTCCCAGGCTGTAACTAACAGGCTTCCTCCCTGCGCCCTCATCTTCCCGAGCTGCGTCCACGTGGCCAGTCCAACCGAGTCCTAGCATTCACCATTAAATGCAGTAACTTTGAAGGACGACAGCTCTTGTCTTCAGCTTGCTAAAGCAATCTCTTTCTTAAGAGCTGAGAAATGGGAGAGGTTTGTCACTAGACCAGATCAGCTGTGGCCTGGCAGGGATCAGCAGGGGACACTGAGCACCAGCAGCAAGTACCTATCTCTCCATCATCTTGCCAGCAACAGACCTGGCTCTACAATGGTTCTCGCAGGGGGAGAAATCCTGAAAGAGGAAGGTAGAGTTACAAGTGCTCTCCTTGCGGCTGAACTGTCCCCTGGACAAGAAGCCCTGATCCAGAGAAGCACTGAAATCACCGGGATTTAGCTGTGTGCTTAAAGATAAGTACATGCTTAATCACTCTGCTGAAACAGGATGCTCTGCTGGAGCATGGCCAAAGTGAATTAGCTGTGCCAGCCTGGGTTGCATCTGGCCCACAGCACAGAGTATCAATATTCTAAAATAAAATTTCATGCAGTGTTGATTTCATAAGATAAAACCTATTTGATCGTTGCTGAAATCCACTCTCACAGTACCCTTGCCCTAAAGAGTGTACTCCCTCACGCAGCTAACTTTACTGAGATAAGAAGGTGCACTTATATATACCATAAGAGAGGCTCTCTTTCATAAATCTCAAAAAAAAAAAAAAAGAAAAAGAGTAACATATGCCTCCTGCGGTAACTGATTGCCAACACTCTCTCAGGAAGGTCACCTAAAACCAAGCCCTTTCCCCCTCCCCCCCAATATATTTCTGTAACAATCACAATCACACAAGAACAAACACAGAAACGTCTTTATCAAGTCCCAGGCGCACTTGAGAACGTAATTAGGGCTTTAACTTCTGTTCACCAACGCAAAATAAGATCTTCCTTTTATCATTACTAGGTGCTACTACTGCATATAAAAACATTACATACGAAATGACCACCTGTTCTTCTGACTTTTCATCTGAGCATCCAGGCAACCTGCCCTGTAGCCACCGACCCTGCAAGACGCATACAACCCAATCCCACGGAAATCGCAGCTGCCTTTCCAGTTCGCTCCAACGGACCTTGGAACAGGCCCTGGATCAAGCACCTGCGCCTGCAAGAGATTGCAGATTCTGCCTTCAGCTCCAGATGGGGAACATGCTGGATCTAAGGGACACTCTCTAGAGAGAGGAAAAGGATTCCCCGTATCACTTTATCTCCTCCAGCGTTTTATTGGGATTTGGCACTGTATTTTGTGGTCTATTGTGCAAACCTACCCAAATGGTATTTGCCACTGTCTATGAAGGGCGACTTGAGCATCTCACAATAACCGCTTTCGTATAACTCCACCTAATTCTCTGCCAACAGCTTATAGCCTGGAAGATCTTGGCCATTAAAACAGAGAATATCAGATGCATTTTTATTCCTCCTTTCTTTTCAAGTCGCTCCTTGTACATTTATTATTTATTTATCAGTACATCTTCCAGTAATAACATGCGATGTACAAAGGCATAGTAAAAGCATGGTTGGCAATATAAACATTTATTCAAGGGAAAAAAATAGCATTCCTTTTAGAAACAACCGTCACCTCAAGCAACTGGTGTATCAGAAATGCCTCCTCAGAAGTATGCGCACTTCTGACAGTAGGATGCTCTCTCGTCTCTCTAGTTCCTTTTTTACCTGCTCAGACATTCAAGGTGGGTGCATTCAGCCCCAACTCCTTTCCACACAATCACAGCAACTAGAAGCGACATCTTATCTGTCTTCAGACAGCCCACAATGGCAAATTTTCAAGAGCTTTTTTGCAGAATGACTTTCAAATAATGAATGGGTTTCATTTTAAATGGCTTTACAATGATCCATCAATTTAAAGAATAACTTTCAGATTTGTCAAATCCCAGATGGAGGGCGAGGGAAAG